AAATTATTGATCGTCGCTCTTAGCCAATCAAAATCGAGGAATTCCGTGAAATTTTGGTGCGGCAGCTAGGTTCAATTCAACACATTTTTGATTAAAAAACAAGTATGATCAACCACAGGGGAACATAGAAAAAAAAGATTTTTTTACAGTGAAGTATTGAAATTTGCGTTCTATATTATTAAATTATTATAAAAAAATTGATTTTACTTCGAAGGTATTTAATAAAAAGTGTCTTTACATAATCATAATAGAATTTTACCCCTTCCTGATTAAAATATATTACTGCTTGTTAGATTGTCCACTAGGATCCCGATCTATACGTAGATAGGTTAGATCTAAATTTGCCTATTTTTATGCTAAATTTTCTTCAAAAATGCTTATTTTTGATCAAAATTCTAAAAATTTATTACCGTATTTTCACGTAATAACACCCATAAGTGTTATTTCGAATTTTGGTCTGTATTAAACTTAATTGAGGTCAAAATTCGAAATTACTCCCCTGCGTGTTATTACGGTATGTATTTCTCTTAAAAAATTTTTATAGCATCCTCTAACCTATCTACGTACAAATAGCTCGGGATCTTTGTCTATTATTATATAATTTATAAATATAATGCAGACCACATAATAATAAGGCAAAAATTAAATATATACAGTATTAAATCTAATAAAACTTAAATAAAATAAAAAAGATATTATATATTAATTAATTTAAAGTTTAAATTTTATGTCATATGATAGTAGACACCCCGATAAGAGGTTGACTCTGAAATTAGCTCATCTTGCACGTATTAGTTAGCAATTTCGATGTGATTAGCTAGCGACCGTAATATTTATATAAATTTTTTTTGACAATTCGCCTAGCTCAGATGATCTAAATTTTAGAAATTTGGCTACGTCACTAATCTACCCTATTATAATATATATTAGATTACAGGGGTTAAACTAAAACTCATCCTATTTCTGACATTGCAATTAATATTATGTTAGACACCATAGAACTTATAATACATAAATATATCTAAAAATGCGATAAATATTTATCTTTCAAGAAAGTTTCGCCATTGGTAAAAATTATTTTACTTCCTTTACGTAATTACCTGAAAAAAAATTAATTTCGTTAATGAAAATGAAAACGATATAAAGAGTTATTTATCACTTGATTTTATATTCCTTTGACCTCGAAAGACAAAACCCCTAGTAGGTGTAAAAGAATATTAAACAGATAAACTCACTCACCAGGAAATTCACCTACAGCACCATGTAATCTACCCACCCACCAATCATTAGGCCCATCTCCTTTCTCAAGTACTTCAATGACATCACCTGCTTTAAAACTCAAATCATTTGTCTCTTTTCCCACATAATCAAACATTGCTATGACAGTTGTTACAACTTTTCCTGGTTTGTGCCTTCTTCTATACAATATGATGCCAACAGCTACTAATGCGCCAACAAAAATAATGGAGCCTATTACACCACCCGCTATTGTACCTGTATTGGGCGGAGATGACTGAGATGTAGATGATGTGGGTGTGGGTGGAGAGGTACCAGTAGGTTTATTTTCCCCCGGTTTATTTGGTAGAATTCCCGAAGTAAAGTTCGTCAATTGTAAATCTTTCGAATCTTTGGTGATGTCTGCGATCGCAACTCCTGCTAAATTATTACGTTTTATATAGTCGAGTTTAGCATTTAACGATTGATAATCTTCATAGAAAGTAACATAGTAGTATTTTGAAGACAAATTTTGTTGGTAAAGATATGGTTGTGACGCATTGCTAATAAAACCATAGGCCCATTGTGATGATGAAATTAAATTTGTAGGACAAAATGATGATAATTGACTACTTAAATCTCTCCATGACCAATATGCATATGATGAATATCCACATTGATCTGAGATCTGTTCATTATTTGTAAAAGGGAAGTTAAAATTTGTGCCATTTACTGGTTGAAGATGTTGATTCTCGATGTCTGATTTAATATTACTAGAAGAAACAATTTCGACAACGCCTCCGAATTCAACGCCTAAAACGAGTTTTGAATTATTTACAAAAGCATTCCATGAACTCAAAATTTGAGAGATTTTGTCTATTCCAGCACTTGCATAAGTGTTATTTATATTAAGACGAAATGCCTAAAATTTTATAAACAGATAAATAAATATTTATAACATCACTTTTACGTAAAAAAAGTTAAATATTACCTGAATATTTATAAAACTAATGTTATTTGAATTGATGCCATTTATAGGAAATTGGCCTGCTGTAATCGTTAAATTCTTATTACCTAATTGTGCTGATATG